AAAGAGATGTCCGGAAAACATAAAAAAAAAAGTCAGCATCCCAACCAGACTCTATTAGCAGCACTAGTGTTGCTCCTGCAAGCAGATGCTTTGAGGGAAGAAGTTGTTCTGGAAGCTGAACTACTGCTTTGGGTCTGGATGTGGGAACAAGGAAGTGCAAAGCAAGGCAGGGCATGAAAATGCAGCTCCTCAGCTGCTCTGTTGTAACTCCCCGTTCACACGTGTTGGCACTTTTACAATTCCCTCAGTGAACTGCAGGGCAGAATGCACACAAGTCTTAGATGCCCAGAGTTGCTCCTTGCAATGTCATTAGCATTGCAGAAACCCTATTCAACTCAATATCTGATTTCTTCAGTAGCTTCCAGCTTCTGAAGCTGGGAGCACAAACTCCTGGCCACGAGGCTGTTTTTCCTAGTGCCTCAAGGACATCACGTGTGACTAACGTGACATAAAAGCTGAGCCTGCACATGCATTTATGGGTAGCAGGAGAGAGGGCTAAATGCAAACCACGTATGATGTGAAAACAGGTTTGGCTAATATCTCTGGATCCAGTTTAGGCTAAGTTTCTAGGCTCAGCTATGTGCACATGCTTATGGCTCTGAAACGAGGCTGTGCCATAAGGTTACACCCTGAGCTCGTCGCAGAACACAGGCCAGCAAACAGTAACGCTTATCTGATGAAGAGACAGGCTAAAACGATACAAAGATTTTCCAGGAAGAGTTGAAATTCGAGCAGTCCAGAAATGCCTGTAGGCCTGATAACCTGTGGCGATGCTAATGCTACTGAACAAGCCCACAGTACGACCTAGTGAAAGAGCTACTGTAATTTCAGAAGCCTGTGTACATGGCAATGCAATCACTGTACGAGTGGGTGTATTTATACACTGCTGTGGGTAAGTCGTGAAGACAGAAGTGCCAGGACAGAGAAAGTAACCCACATTATATTTAACCCTGGGTGTGGTCTAGAGGCTAGGGGGTGGTGGCCAAGCAGTTGACGCATCTCCTGTGGATTCAAAAGCAGGAGTTTGGGCCTTGCCCTGGGTTCATGCCAAGCTTTGCTTGATCAGTGCAGCCGCAACTAAATCTGTGGTTGCTCAAGCCAGAGAAGTGATTCTAGCTGCTGCCCTCCCTTGAATGCCACTAGCCACCAAGACTGACAGCTCCAGCTGGGCTAATGGCATAGACCAGCCAAATTCAAATAGAACTTCAATTTTGACCTACTTGGAGATGCGTGAACTACCATAAAAAGAAACCACAGAAATACTTGCATTATAAAACACTGCTCTTATCACAAATCTTATTGGCTGCTTCATACCCACTCATGCACTCTGGTCCTCATTTTTAACTTCCTAATGTCTTGCGCAGGGTTCAAGATCCCTTTTATTCATCTCCACCACTTTCTTTTTAAAGCTTCTGGGAACGGATTTGTGTCTAGGTCTGTTCTAAACATTTCCTTAAACCCAGTGCACCCGGAACATTGTTCTCAAAACATTAGTTCTCAAAGCACCGTGAAGTCCTGTGCTTTGCCTGAGTTACCAGAACAACCCTCATGGCCCATGCTGCTGTCAGGAAGCTGAACGGTACCTGGTACATGATGGAAGATGGAGGAGGTTCGATGCATGGCTGCTGATCTGGTAGAGGCAGCTCCTCCAGTAAGTCCACATTGGACAAGGCATCCTCCAACGTGACGTGTGTGGTCATGGTTCCGGCTGCTCAGTTTCCACGCTAAATCCAAAGGAAAAGAAAAGGTGATAAAAACACAGCAGCCAGAAGACTGAGAAAATTGGAACCACGACCGGTTTGCACTGCAGGAGACATTATCCCTGTTTAAGTTTTCTTTTTCTTATACGTTTCACCTAAGTCTCTAAGTCCTCTCTCCTTCTACAATTCAATAACAGAACTGGAAGGCAGAATAAGAGCAACAGAGGTACCCACACACAATCCTCTCTGCTTAACTCTATGCAAAACTACTTAAGACACAAACCAGCTGGATGCTGCAGTGCAGCTAGAGCAGCCTCAAGTGAAAGTGTGTGCTCCAAAATGCAAGGCAGTGCTATTAAAAATATCTCTAGAAGCAGCATGATTAGAAAAGTATGACCAGTGCTGACACTCACATGGTCTCTTTCTCACATACATGGAACGAAGCTGGAAACTGTAAGCAGCAAATCATGTTCTCAGAGGTGAACCGGAAAACATTGAGTTCTGCACAGTTAGGCTGTGGCAGTGCAAACAGCAAAAAAAGAAGCAGAAGTTAGAAAAAAACAACTTTTCCTTTTATTGTACCTGCTTCTGCCACACATGCAGCAGCCCCCCCAGTCCCGGCCGGCAGTGGAGTTGCTGATGGCAGTGTCCTGAGATGGTGCCCGTTACCCAGGAAATACTGAGCGGTAATTGCAAAGGGAAATGTGTCTGAAGGAGCTCCCTGGTCTTACATCTGTGCTGTGCCCCCCATGCTGACCAGCTAATAGGAAACACGGGACAGAAACCTTCATGACTCTTCCTCCTTCTGCTCTTCACCTTTGCAGCAAGTGCACAAGCACAGAGGGACGACTGCTGTCACGCGGGCAGAAAGCTCTTGCATAATCAGAGCCACAGGGCTTCCCTAGTTAATGCCTAATCCGTGTGCAAGAGCTGTGGCTGACCTAGAGTGCGTCTTCTAGAAAATCACCTAGCTGGATTTAAACACAGTGACAGAGAACTCACTCTAAATATTGACGTGTTCAACTAGCAGATCCCTCCCCCACCGCCAAAAACTGCACTCTCCAGTCAGAGCCTGTCTGGTTTCAAATGTGAGCCACCGAGTTTTCTCACTTTTACCTGCAAGACAGTGGAGTGCTCTACTACCAAAGTGTCCATCAAGATACTTACAGATTTCAGTGGAACCACCCCGCAACCTTCCTTCTCCTTTGCTACGCCAAGCGCACTGGGCTCTTTGACTGCCTGTTATGAAGTGTATTTGCCAATCCTTTCATCACCTCTTTTGCTTTTCTCTGAGCTCGAACCAATTTTGCAACTTTTTTGCTGAAGCGTGGACACCGTAGCTAGGTACACGATTCCAGGGGTGTCTGCACAAGCGCCAAACACAAAATCAACACAACCTCCCTTCTTACACACACTCACAGCAGTTCTCTTGGACACAGCGGCTCCACAGGCACTCATATTCAGCTGATTATCTGCCATAATACCCTCAGGTCCCTTTTTTTTCCTTTTTTAATTGAGTCACTGTTTCCCAAAATATAAGTTTGCCTTTCACATCCAGCGCTAGGAGCATGGAAGGATGATGTTTCGGCATGTCCATAGATAGACACACACGCACCCAGCGAGGAACACAGCCAAGAGGGATGCACGCGGCGTGCGGTCCCGAGGCGGCTCCCTGCTGCGTGAAAAGATGGCTGAGCTTGCTGCTGTGCCTTTTGTCACCATCGCTGCCTGCGTGCACGGGCAGCAAGAAAACGTATGAGCACGGCAGAACCTGTTTCACCTCCACAGACGCCACCCTGAGGTACCAGGCAGCTGAGAAAAACAGGCTTAGTTATCTGCAGCTGAAGAGCATAAAGTAAGCGTTTGGGGAAGCAAAATCTTAAAACAGCCCCTTCCCTGCTTGCTCAAATTTCTGTTTCCCCCTCCATCCCCTTTTGCTAAAATTGTTTCCTCTTACAAATTATAGCAACTGTCAAAACCAGCCGTTACGTACTGGCACGCCGCAGTCGGAAACAGCTTCCTCCCCGGCTCAGAGAACGACGAGCGCCACCCTGCGCGGCTCAACCTGCCCAGTCCGGGGGCCTTCTCGGCTTTCCATCGCTTCCCGACATCGTCCTCCAGCGCCCTCAAGACTTTCCTCTGGATGCCCAAACATCCCTTGTACTCACGCTTGCCTATATATTTCAGGCTCGGGAAGGCGAAACCCCTCCATTTCCTACATCTGAGGATTTGGGGTGTTTACTTGGGCTCATTCAGCATTTTTCCGCAGGTCAAATTCTAAGGCCGTCTGTGCAACTTGTCAGCAGCCTGCTATTACCAAAGACTCCTCTCCGCTAGCTGCCTGGTGGGAGAAGAACATAGCAACCCCCCAAATTATTGCTATTATGAGGGGATATGTTTCCAAACGCAGTGTCAGGGTTCTGCTGGGCCAAGCAGTGCAGAAACACGTATGAGAGTCTCTGCCTCGAACTTCTTACCGTCACAGACAGGAAGAGGGCCGGCGGGCAGAAGTAACACACAGAAAACGAAGCACAAAGCAAAAGCGAGGGAGCGGTGCCATCGGCGGTGGCACAACTCAGCTCAGCAGCGGCGAGGCGCGTGCTTCAGCGTGAGGGTCAGGGTCCACAGGGAAAAAATAGGTGAACTTTGCGGGCTGAATTGCTGCGTCTTCGCTACAAAGCCCTTGGGAGTCACTGGAGAAAGAGGCCAAGTTTCATTTCTAAGGTTCTTGGGCACGGCAGCGAAACCGAAGAAGATGAGGGGAAACGTGGGGTGTGCCAGGACTTTTCCTGCGTCGCGCGTCC